CAGATGTATGGGTAAAATAACCATCTTTATACCACACTACTACCTCACTTCAAATTGAAAATGGTAATTTTATATTTTGAACATCCTTACTCAAATATGTATCAAATTAACATCCTTTTTGACAAAATAGGGGGAGGCGTGTTGTGTGAAACGGGTCTTCCTGAGTTGATAATAAGACACATTGTAGGGACGCGTTTTTCGCCTAATTTAGCACCACGTGGGAATGCGTGTTTTAGGAGGCATGCCTTTACGGAATTTTCACGTCACATGGGAAAACTTATTGTAAGGGGTGTGCCTTCCGTCCCTCCCACCTCTCCCACATCTCTCCCACCCTTTACTCCTATTCATGATTCCCGCCTAAACCCCTCCCCCTCTACCTATATAAACCCTTTCTCTTCTTCAAACACATCACACACCAAAAATCTTTCGCTCATCTTTTTTTTTTAATTTTTTAAGTAGGTGCTTTCAAAATATTTTGAAGGTATAAATTTTATTTTATTTTTTATTATATTTATTAAACATTTTTATTAATTATTTGTAATTACTATTTATTTTTTCTTTTTTGTAGTTATAAAATAAAAAGTTGGATGCTACGATTGGGTGCAAATCATATCTCAAGTCATTTTTTTGATAGGGTAACAATATTAAATTGTGTTATTTTTTCTGAATATCTTATTAATTTAAATTGTTTAGTATTATTTTAAATTTTAATTCGTATAATATTTATTAATTAGAGAAATAATCGTATATTAGAAGTGTTTATTCTTAACACTAAGATGAACACAATGTTCTGTATCTTGATGTATTTATCTAAGACTAGATTCGGTTACATAGCCAAAATTATGGGAGGCTGTAAACTTGAACTCACCCTTATTTCTACACTAATCGAGAGGCGGAAACTAGAGACACACTCATTTCATCTTCCATGTAGAGAGTGTACCATTACCATGGAGGATTTTTCAATGCATTTGGGTATTCTAATAGATGGAACTATTATTTATGGCATGACAGATAGTGATTGGCATTCTTTATGAATGAAGTATCATGGAGCTTCCCGACTGACTTCAATGGTGGCCAAATATCGTTATCATGGCTGAAATCCAATTTTCAAGAGTTGAACGAAAAATATTATGATGATGGGGCAAAAACATTTATTCGAACATACATATTACGAATCATAAGAGGGATATTGATGCCCAACAAATCTCGCAATCAAGTTCATTGTATGTGGTTGCATCACCTCACTGATTTTGAAGTAGTCGACACATTGAGTTGGGACTCCAACATTATTTGTCAATTCATCAAGCTCATGGTCAAATCAAGCTCTCACATAGCTATTGTAGTGCTCATTTCTGCTATACAATCTCAATATGGGTATACTGTCTCCTACAGAAAAACATAAAATGCAAAATAGAATGTCATTATAAAATTACACGACGAGTGTGATTCATCTTACAATGAGCTACCCAGTTGGTTTAAAGTAATGCAAAGATTGAATCTTTGGACTATTGTTGAGTTTGAAACTAAACATGCATATGAGAAAGATCGAGTGCTTCGAGATCAATGCCAATTCTAACGTGTTTTTTGGACTTACTCAAAGTGCATTAATACGGTGAAATACTGCAAACCGGTGGTCCAAATTGATAGTACATTTTTGTATGGAAAATACAAACAAATTTTATTATTAGCAGTTGTCCAAGATGGTAATCGCAACATCCTTCCCATTGATTTTGCCTTTGTTAAAGGAGAAGATAAACATGCTTGTACTTTTTTCCTAAAAAATTTACGGTTACATATTGTCATGAGGGAACACATTTACATCATTTTAGATCGAGGAGCTGGGATCAAAGCAACAATGAACACTTTTGGTCCAATGTGGAAACTGCCACATATCCAACATCGTTATTGTATCTGACATATTGTTGCAAACTAGTACGAAAAATATAAGAAGAATAATAATCACCAATTACTTATATGGATGAGTATGTTACTTTTTTCAATTTCATTTCTCAATTATTTTCATTTTATTTATTTCTATTTACACTACTTAGTACATATGACTTAGGTTATGAACTCTTACCTCAAAGGTTTAAGTTTATGCTTCAAGAGTTGTAAGTAAAAAATGAGCATGGATAAAATTACATCAGAGTCATCAAAAAAGAAATGTGGATAAATACATACGATGGTGGATATCGATATGGTCATATGACAACCATAACTTGACTGAGGTTATCAATTCAACCTTAAAGGAGGCGAGTCATTTACCTGTAACTGCTTTGGTTAAAATGACTTACTTTCGTTTGGGTCAGCTTTTTGCCAAGATCGGGGGGACAAGCTCTTACTTGGATGCAAAACGACCATGTTTATCACCCAAGATTAGTAGCAGATCTACAGAAAAAAGTTGCAACATCAAATGAAATGTTGATAACAAATTTTTCTCTCACCCGTGAATTATTTCATGTCACAGAAATACCATGATCTCTTCAAGGGATTGAATCTAACTCTTTCAGAGTTAATCTACAAGAAAGGTGTTGTAATTTTGGGTTTTTTCAAGCTCTAAAGTATTCATACTTCCATGTCATAACAGCTTAATCACATTCTCATTTGGACTATAAAAGTTATGTTGATCTCGTATTCGAGGCATATGAATTTGAGTTTCCCCTCGTAGATAATGAAAAATACCCAAATGAGATTCAGACTTAGCTTACAATTATATCAGATCTGTTGTTATTAAAGGAGTCAGGTTGTCCAAAATCCACTCGAATTCATTTGTGATATGAATATTCGAGAAACATCAAAAGAAAGCAAAAGATGTGTTCATTGTAGAAACATAGGTCACAATATGAAAAAATCAATCTCTTTTAACATCACTTAACCGGTGACCATTACTTATGTAATTGTATTTTCTAATATTTCAATTTATGTAATTTTATTTTTTTGTACTTTCAATTTATGTTATTTTCTTTTCTTTTATAAGATGTGGATTTTTCTATTTTTCCATTTAATGTTTATGATTCATTATTTTCGGTTTAAGCTTTCTTGTGATTAAGATTTTAATTTACACTAAACCATAAACCATTTAAACAATAAAACCCTAAACCACTCAAGCAAATAAAAACCCTAAACCACTCAAGCAAATAAAAACCCTAAACCACTATCTAAAAACCTTAAACCATTCTAACATAAAAAAACTCTAAATCACGGGGGGACTCCTAAACCACTATCTAAAAAGCGTGTGACATGTGATGTGCTTTCAAAGGCTCGTCCCTTAAAACGTGCCTTCTACTGTGGCACTATATCAACATAAATCCAAGGAAAGTGCGCCCCCTGCAACGCGTCTTTCCTCCACCTCAATAAGACGCGTTTCACACAACGTGTCTCCCCATCAATCTGTCAGAAAAAGTGTTATTTTGGTACATATTCGATAAACGGTGCCAAATCGATGTTATTTAATTTTTAGGTGATTTTTAAGTAAAATTGTCATTGAAAATTGGGTGGAGTTTATTAGGCAATAATTTCCTAAAGTATAAAGTATTAAAAAAAGTTTCTTAATTTTAAATTTGTACTTCAAAATTAAATAAAAGTATTAAATTCTTTAGTCATAATATTGTTTACTATGAACATCATATTAATATTATTAATAATTACGTCAGTATGCTAATTATTATATCATTATAATAAAGATTAACAATAAATTTTATTAGTAAAAAATTAATTAATATGTTTTTAAATTTTAAAAACCAAAATAAGATATATATTTTTTATGAATACTATTTATTTAAAAAAAATACTAAAATAATTGTTGAAGCAAAAAATACAGATGAGGCAAACCCTTTGTAGAGAGTTGTGTCGAACCGAAACAAGATTTGAAGACACAAATAGGAGAGAATTTTCTTCTTCTTGTTTTTTAAGGATGATATGATTAAGAAGGAAAAACATACTTAAGAAGAATTATATGTGCCTCATTAAATTATTATTTTTTATTCTTGAAAATCCTCAATTTACAAAATGTCGTTTGTTTTTCTTTTCATTTTGGTTAATCTCAGTAGTTAAAAGAATCGTTGTTGTTCCTAAAGGTCACAAGTTTAAACACCAACGACCGCAATAAAGTAATTAAACATTTAAGCGGTATATTTTATCCTTCATCATATTTAAGGAAAGATATAAATAAATATTCTTTTATTAATCTAGATAAGTTCAAGATAATATTTATTTAAAGATAACTATCGACCCTTTAATGTTGGACTTTACACTTCTAATATTTATGATGTTCAAGTCCAAATTCTCAAGGAATAACAATAATTCTTTTACTACGAATGTCGCTTGATTCGTACTAAATAAATAGATACCTAACAGAAGGTGGTGGGAATTAGGATTATAGTTTTCAGAAACAAAATTTTGGAAGAAAATAATAATATTACACTAAATAATTTTTTTTCTTCTAAATTTTATGTGTTTGATATCAGTCGACTCCACATCAAAGTTTTTAATGATTATAGCCTTAGATATTTTTACAATCAATTAAACAAAAATAAACTCTTAGAATAATCCTTGTGATTAAAAGAATTAATTATCTTTATAATAATTCAGGTTCGAATAATGTAATTTATATGTACATAAATTTAAATTAAATCTTTTAAAATAATAAAATAAATAATATTTTTACAATTACGTTCATTAAAATATTATCTAATATTGGTGAATAGAAATGTAATATTAATCAATAAAAAGCCAGAAAATATTATTATTCCAAAATAATTTAAAATTAAAAGTGAGGTTCAGCAGATTAGATAAAAGCAATAAGAATGGGAAAGTGAAGTGTAACATATCATATGTATATTAATTAAGTAGAGCCAATTCATGTTCCAGAAGTTTAGTTGTCATGCATGCGACGTGTGCAGCTTTTGCCTACAAAAACCACTCCATTGCTTTGCAGATTATTAATACAAGGAAACAACAAATATTTACTTCCAAATTAATATTAAAATTCCCCGCTTTTTCTGCTTTTCCTAACCCAGAAAATCAAATTCCAATTTCAGCTTGTTTTCCCCTTTTGTTTCGTGATTTCTTCTCTTTAAAGAAAGGGATAGGGTCAACCCCAATAAGGCAAATGACCCAAAACAGAGAGAAGAAGATCATGCAGTTTCTGTAATCTATAAAAACTGTGTGAACATGGTTTTACAGGTTAAAAGGGGATTGAAGAATGTATTAGTAATTTAGTGAAGTGGGGGAAAAAAGAGAGAAGATGCACGTTGATTCATGATGACACACACGAGCAATGGAGTGTTCGTGCGTGGAGTTTATGCACAGCTCTATCTTTTTTGCCTTTTGCAAATAACCTCCATCTTTCTCATCTTTTTCCACATCACCTGCCACTACTTATAATACTCTTCCTTTGCTTTAAATTTATATTCCAGCCAAGCCAAGCCAAGACACTGCTGCAAACGTAGTTATTCTGCCCCCCCCCCCCCCCACGGGCTCTCGTTAGAACTCTTGTTCGGGTGTCTGCTTCGTTTTAAAATATATGAAAGCCTTGTCATTTAGTCTTTACTTGTTTGGACGGAGGCATTCAAGTTTGTCTTTTTTGTTATGGAAAGTTGAACTTCTTACTTCTTCTTTTATGTTGTTGAAAGGTCTGAATCTGATTGATTACTCTACTTTTTGTTTTCTGGGTGAAGATTTAAATCTGCTTACTGATTGTTATTGTTGTTTATATGATATTTGTTGAAGTTTCTGAAATGAGTTTTTGCAGATTTGGTGTTGGACTAGATGAATACCAGAGTAGGGACGTCTGTTCAAGCTAAGAAAGTTCCTGGGAAGCATGAAAAAGTAATTACTGATCACAGTATTTAACAACTTTAATCAATGGCCGAGAACTGGGGTCCCTGGATTACTGATTATTTTAATATTAATTTGTTTTGAAAGACGGTTTGGACTTTGGACTGTAGTATGTATAAAGGAATGTGATCATTCCTTAATTATCTTCAATTTCAAGAAAGAGCCTCTAATCCCCTGGATAGTTTTTGAAAAGCAAGCTTCCTTGATTGGAATCCAATGCGGGTTTTAAAAGTTTAAATCTTTAATGAAAGAAGGCTTCTGTATTATTCCATTGGATTTGAGATTCCCTGGAATTTTTCCAGACAATTGTGGGTTGGCTTCAATCGCTATTGAGCAACTACGTGGTTCCAAAATTTATCCCTTGTTCTTTGATTCTTCCAACCTTTTATTAAGCTTATATGCTTGATAACGCTAACTGTTTGCAACTTTTTTTTTCATTTTGAAGGAGAAGGCTGAAATGCAGGGGAGCAAGCCACCTATTGTTGCAACAAAGGCAATGAAGAACCCACGAGACTCCAGCAAAGAAAGAAAAAAGGCCTTACAGCAAGATGTATGACCTTGTTTTACCAGAGTTTCTTCAAGTTTTTTGGATTTCTTACAACGATTTACTGTAGTTATTGATTGTATTGGAACTCCAATGTTTTCTTCAGGTTGATAAACTTAAGAAGAAGCTTAGACAGGAAGAGAACATTCACAAAGCTCTGGAGAGAGCTTTTAACCGACCTTTGGGAGCTTTACCTCGTCTTCCTCCATATCTCCCTCCTCCTGTTAGTAACTCATCATCTCATTGACACCTTGGGTTTTGTTTGTTTTTTTTTTTTTGGTCTCTTTTTAAAGATTATGGATTCGGTATTGGTGTTGGGGTCATGTCCATTGTGGTTAAAGAACTTTAGAAGCAGAGGAAGTGAACGAATTGTGCATTTGGATATTGTCAAACAGGAATTTTAATGTCGGGTTCTGCTTTTGCAGACATTGGAGCTTTTAGCAGAAGTGGCAGTGCTGGAGGAGGAGATTGTCCGGCTTGAAGAACAAGTCGTTCACTATAGACAAGACTTGTATCATGAAGCTGTCTATACATCTTCGTCAAAAGGGAACATGGAGAGTTCAGTTGATTTAAGTGTGCCTTGCCTGGATAATAGTCCTAAACGTCCGCAACCAAGAACTTTAACTAGAAATACAACCATGGCGAGTCATATGCGATCTCTTTCAGGCAAGGTTTTTGGTATTTTAAACACTCTTGTCATGCCATTAACATTTGAAACATTTATTTGAAGTGAAATAGGGATGCAAAACTTTTTATTTTTTTAGATGATGGAAGAGGAAAGGAGAACCTATCCTGTACTAATTCCACAAAGAGCAATAAGGGATCCTTGGTGGGTAAAAGCCAATTAGTGAGAACACCTGTGAAGAGACCTTTGATTGATTCAAAACCTGCAGAGAAACGTTTTGATCCTAAAAAATTGCAGGCATGAACCAATGCCGTTTCCATCAGTTATAATAGACTTATTTGCAGTTAAATGAGTATTGACTTGTTTTACATGTTCAGCTAGAATGTAGAGTGAGAGACCAGGATAGTGCAGAAGTGCGAAATCTTAGCACTTCAGATGAAAGGCCACTGGCAAACAATGGCGCGAGTAAAGTTTCTGAGGAACTTGTGAAATGCTTGTCCACCATATTCTTAAGAATGAGCTCAATGAAGAGAAGGTCTAGTGCAGAAAGTTTTCCTTCACTATCGATGTTAGGCTCCCAAGAAAGCAGGGATGAAACTAAATTTCGGGATCCTTATGGTATTTGTTCAATTCTTGGGAGGAGAGATATCGGCCCATATACGCATTTGATTTCAATTGATGCTGGCTCGATCAATCCAAATCGATCCTCAAATTCTTTATTTCTGCTGCGCAGGCTGAAGTAAGTCATTGGTTATCAGTTTTCATCTTATTTTCATGTATTCAAATGTCTGAAGAAGTTATGAAGATTTGTGATCATTTTGTATGTTGAATTTCCAGGCTACTCCTCTCAAGACTTGCCTCCTTCAACTTGCAAAACCTAAATCATCAGGAGAGGCTTGCCTTCTGGATAAACATCTACAATTCCTGCATGATGAATGTATGTGGAAGATTCTGTCAGTATAAACTGAAAAGATTAGGCTTGTATCACATACTAACTGTTGATTTAAAATGTACCAAAAAAATCAGAGCTAATCATTTCATACTAGTTTCCTTCACATGCATTTAAACCCCACATTCTCTTATGGTGATACTCTTTATCTTTTAATGCATTTGGTTTCTGTTACGATAACTGGTTTACTCTAGTAGATGAAATCATTTATTACTTGATGTTGATTCAGGCATTCTTAGAACATGGAGTACCAGAGAGTCCGGAGAAGGTTGTTGAATTGATGCGAAAGGTATGGATGTGCAGAACACATGATTTCCTCATAATATTGTTGATTTTCATTCTTAAGATATTGTTCTGTTTCATGTCCAACCGTATTGACGTTAGACAATTTCGATTAATTAGATGTAATTAGTAGTTTTATAAGAAATTTTGGTGAAACAGGCAACTATAAACATCGGGGGGCACCCGCTAAATGCGATAACGATTGAACATTTCATTCTCAGATTGCCTTACAACTCAAAATTTGTAAGTGGTGCATCATTTAAGTTTCTTGGAAACTTTATCAGCTTGATAATCGATTCTTCTTTGTCACGCTTCTTATACCTCACTTCTATCAGACCGTTTCAAAGGGTTCCAAGAATGATGAAATGACTGCCAGGAGCATGTTTGGCTTGGAACTATCCGAACCATTGGTGACATTTGCCCTCTCATGTGGAAGCTGGTCCTCCCCTGCTGTAAGTTTGTAACTCTGCCTGCTAGGTTTGCTCTTATTAACATCATATAGTACTGGTATAATACTGGTTATTGATTCTTCGAGTCTGTCAAACGAAGGTGCGGATATATACTGCTTCTAATGTTGAGGCCGAATTGGAAGTCGCAAAGAAAGAGTACTTACGGGCTACTGTTGGGATTTCATCAACAAAGTTTGCAATCCCTAAGCTGTTGGACTGGTACTTGCTTGACTTTGCTAAGGACTTAGATTCGTTGCTCGATTGGATTTGCCTTCAACTACCTAATGAACTAGGAAAAGAAGCAATCAAGTATCTTGAAAGAGCCAAAACGGAGTCTCCTCTACGGTTTGTTCAAATTATACCTTATGACTTCAGCTTTAGGTATCTTTTATGCACATAATAAATTATTGGTTTCAATTAAAATTTTGCTTAGTTTCCAAGGGTGTAATGATGTCATACACAATCTTAGATTAGATAATATATAAAAATTAAGGGGGCAATCTGTTCTCCCATCTTTGATTGTAAGTAGTTGTGAGAGGAATGCTCGTCAGGGATTTCTGCATGTAATTAGTAAGTACTTTTCAGAATTAAAAAAAGAATAATTGGATTCTTTCTCCCGTATTTACTTCAACCAAATATCACCAGGATGATCCACATTTCTCAACTGAACTATCATCATGGACTGTACAACCAACTTTTCATTTATCATCATCAACTTAAAAGCGATAACGTCATTAATTTTCCTGTGAGGGTTGCCAACTAGCTGACAATGATAATTCAATGGAGGTCTGAAGTTTCATTCAATAGGATTAGGTGTAAAGCATTGACAACCCCAGCATTATGTTTGGATGTTATTGGATTGGTATGCATTAATTCCTGCTGGAATTCCAATTAAAATCATGAGCCCTGCATTCCAAGAAAGCTACTGATATCTGATGCAAGCAAAAATCCCTTCTAATACCGACCGATCTCTGGTGGTCCATAGTTAGCATCCCCAAATACCCTTTGTTATTTAATCAATGCCCGGCCTGCTAAGGACCCATTTGTAAGAGATATCCTGCTGTACCATTGATTATGACCTGTTTGGACAACAGCCGGAAACTACTCTGATTCTTCATTTTCATCAGGTTTCCATAGAGAGTTCAAATTAAACGCATTGAAGTCTGCATGAATGCAAGGTATTAGTGGAATAATCCTGCTGACATGTATATTCATGCATGTTGTCATGTTGAATATACCGAGGAAATATAGATATATTAGTATAAATTGCTATAAAAAAGACCACCCATAAAACTAGCTGAGGGCTATTAATTATCCCAGTTCAATAAAACCATTGCTGCCCAGCTGTTGTGAAACTCCGGAATGAAGTGTTGCTGAAATAAAACCTTTGTCTTAAGCTCAACCAAATTTAATGCCAAAGATTGATTTCTGACTCTGGTGTCCCCCATATGATACGACCATGTGGACTATGTGCATCAGCTTCCAACGGGGGCAAAGAAAACCATTCGAGCTTTAATGGAAAGTGATTCTCACTGCTTACTCGAAGCTAAAGCGAGAAGGCCATGTGGTTTTCTTGGTGGTTAAGTTAAATTTACCCGGGTAACGCATGTGCTGTAGTGAAATCGAAAATGAACTGACATAAGCCGTCAGCCATGCCTGCCTGCCAGGGAAGCGGCACTAAATTTTGTAAGGTCCTTTTGAAATAGTACGAACATGAAGCCACAAATCTTTTTGCTTCGGGTGCTGATTGCTGTAACCACAAACAAACGTTAGGGCTAGAAGAGAAGATTAAGGGGGAAAGGATCTTGTTGGAGTTTGTGAATGTTGGTTGTAGAGAAGGCAACTGTGATTTGCAGGTCCTAATTCATTAAAGAGAATTTTCAAGGGGCAGCAACTTGTCATCTTTGTTTTTGCAGGGTCAGCGAATAGAGTATGAAAGTTGAATTTCGTCAACACATTTGCTAGTAGGGTAATATATAAGAAAACTATTAAAGAGAATAAATAATTAATGGGTAAGGTGACTTTCGTTTGAGTTTCATAAAAAAAAAATCACTGAATTCAAAATGTATAATATTTGGTTACTTTTATTTCATTTTAATTATTATATGGTTTTTAAAGGCTAACAGACATTAAACCTTTAACGATTTGCTAACATGATATGGTAAATATATAAAGGGTAAATTACATAAATGGTCACTTTTCTTTCATTATTGTACACTTTTACTCATTAAATTTGAAAAACATAAGTTATTGTCACTTACACTATCGTTTTATTAAGTCTTGATCACTTGGACGTTGAATACCGTTAGTTTGATGATGTGACCCATTAGTAAAATGGTATAATTTTTATTTTAACCTACAATTTAAACAAAATTCAGATTATGAGTCTTGTATAAATTCAAAATAGTTTAGGAACAATATTTCAATTTAGCCATTTTTAATAGATTTTCTTCATAACCCCATTGTTGTTAATCTTCTCCATGCTTATTCTTTAGACATCTCTGCTTCATTGCTCTATTTGTTTTCTTTCAAGGACTCGTGTGCATTTTAAGAATAATACATGATTTTCAACTTTCGATAACAAATAATAATACCAAAAGTTCAGAGAAAAATGAGAGGATAGACATCTAGATATAAAATGAAGCTGGGTAATCTCAATCATAGAAACTAAAATTCAATTTTCAAAGATCGAGATTACAAAATATCAAATCCAACAAGGAACAATAAGACAATTAATTGATCCAAATACCAGATAATCGAATATCACTATTCATGGTGATTTTCTCTTGAGAAAGCACCTCCGGTTAATTATAACCAATGGATCCAAACAATCTGATAACTAGATATGTGAATTCATCCATTGAACTCAATCCAAAATCCATAATCTTCAATGTCGAATCTTTGTTGATCTTTGTAAACGCTGTGGAGGTTGATCATGTTCGGATGCGACGAAACATTCTCAATAATCTTTCGCTTCACAGGGATTTTGTTGATCAACAACGCATCGAAGATAGAAACATGATATTGTATCGTCAATAACGCCGCCATTGAAGAAGCTCTAGTTTTCTCGAATCGAGATGGTGGCGTGGTGGTGGTGGTGAATATTTTTCAGAGTTTTAATGACGAATTCTATACATTTTTTATGATCTTCATTACATATTTTATACGTTTTCTTACAACTAAGAACTCACCTAATTTGACTTCAAATAATTAGAAACAAGAAGACTATTGCAATGGAGAAGATATGTCTAAAGAATAAACGGGGAGAAGATGAGCAATATTGATGGTTTGGGACGAAATAATATTAAAAAATTGGTAAATTGAATGTTGTCCCTAAAATAATTTAAATTTACAAAAAGACCCATAATTAGTATTTTATCTAAAGTTTAGAGGTTAAAAAAATTAAATCATTTTATTAACATGTCATGTCATCAAACTAACGACATTCAATGTCCAAGTGATCAAAACTTAATAAAACGATAACGTAAGTAATCAAAACTTAATAAAACAATAACGCAAGTGACCAAAACTTATGTTTTTTTAATGTTAGTAAAAGTGTACAAATATGAAAGGAAGGTGACCAAAACTTAATCTATGTATTATCTACGTAGAAATAATATAATTTTAATTTTATATAGAAACCAAACTGGTTTTGGGCCTTTTGAATCTTGTAATGGGCTCTAATTAATTAATGAGTCACCCTCCATGGTCGACTCTTATTGGGTTCTGCAAAGCCATTGGCTGAGCTACCCAAAACAATTCCTAGGCCGTTACCACAGCTACAAATGGCTAAAGGAATAGGGATGGCAATTCAACCCGAACCCAAAGGGTTCCGATCAGGTTGGATTTTTAAAAAAAATCAGGTTCGGCGGGGTTTTTTAATGCACTGTTAGGGCCGGTCGGGTTTAGGGCGAAAAAATCCGACCCGACCCGACCTGAAAAATATATATAATTTTACCCTATATATTTATGGATAATTACAATAATACCCTTTTATATATAATTTTTTTCAATTAAGTCACTGTTTTTATTGAATAATTTTTTTTATTTCGGGTCGGGTTTCTAAGTCATATATTTGGGTCGGATCGGGTTGGGTGAAACCTTAATTTCATCGGGTCGGGTCACGGGTGGAGGACCCTCCGACCCGACCCATTGCCATCCCTATAAAGGAGGGGGACAAAACTCGTGATTCTTTCAACACTAGCTGTTGCCAAATAGGAAGGGTGTTGCAAATGATGAGGGCATAGGCTGAATTTATGACGAAATTTCTAACAAAATTATTGGCCTTATCAGAAGTTTATTGGTTACCAACTACCTGCAGTAGTTGACGATGTGATAAAAGCTATCAAGGATGCTATTCTTGGACAAGGAAAAAAAAAACCTCCAGGCTCTGATGGGTTTTGAAAATCAGTTTAGCCAATTACGCGTTAAGGGCATTAAAAAGGATTTTCATTTTTTAGGATAAATTACACGGTTTCATCACTTAACTTTACTCTCTCTCCTATTTCACTCACTAAACTTTCAATTATTCAATTTTGCTCACTATACTTTATCAAACTGGTTTTGGGCCTTTTGAATCTTGTAATGGGCTCTAATTAATTAATGAGTCACCCTCCATGGTCGACTCTTATTGGGTTCTGCAAAGGCATTGGCTGAGCTACCCAAAACAATTCCTAGGCCGTTACCACAGCTACAAATGGCTAAAGGAGTAGGGATGGCAACTCAACCCGAACCCAACGGGTTCCGACCCGACCCGATCAGGTCGGTTTTTTAAAAAAAAAATCGGGTTCGGCGGGGTTTTTTAATGCACTGTTAGGGCCGGTCGGGTTTAGGGCGAAAAAATCTGACCCGACCCGACCCGACCTGAAAATATATATATAATTTTACCCTATATATTTATGGATAATTACAATAATACCCTTTTTATATAATTTTTTTTCAATTAAGTCACTGTTTTTATTGAATAATTTTTTTTTATTTCGGGTCGGGTTTTTAAGTCATATATTTAGGTCGGATCGGGTTGGGTGAAACCTTAATTTCATCTGGTCGGGTCACGGGTGGAGGACCCTCCGACCCGACCCATTGCCATCCCTATAAAGGAGGGGGACAAAACTCGTGATTCTTTCAATCACTAGCTGTTGCCAAACATAGGAAGGGTGTTGCAAGATGATGAAGGGCATAGGCTGGAATTTTATGACGAAATTTCTAACAAAATTATTGGCCTTATCAGAAGTTTATTGGTTACCAACTACCAGCTGTAGTTGAGGATTTGATAAAAGCTATCAAGGATGCTATTCTTGGACAAGGAAAAAAAAAACCTCCAGGCTCTGATGGGTTTTGAAAATCAGTTTAGCCAATTACGCGTTAAGGGCATTAAAAAGGATTTTTCATTTTTTAGGATAAATTACACGGTTTATCACTTAACTTTACTCTCTCTCCTATTTTACTCACTAAACTTTCAATTATTCAATTTGCTCACTATACTTTATAGATTTAATTTCTTTTGATAACTCAACCGTTTTCTCCTCAACTCTATTAGGATGTGGCATTTATTTTATTTTTATTATTATTATTATTATTATTCAATTAATATTTTATTATTAGTATTAGTATTTAT